GATAGGCAATACATTGAGTTGATATCTAGCTTAGAAATAGAAATTTCATTTGACTCCACTCAAGATGACACTGTTCCTATGCCAATATACCTATTCACAATGAAGTAGTTGCTATGGCAACTAATAAGATGAAATTTAGGAATATATTGATATTAGAACAGAGGCAGTTTTTATCTTTCTCTCAACTGTCTGTAATTACTCTCTGTTATAATTATAAACTCTAACACACAGCAAAAAGATAATTGGGAAAATGCTAAAAGGTGTTCCACTTGGCCGTAAATGACGAAAATGTTGACTGTGGTTTATATTATATTCATTCATAAAAGTAACTAGTCTTATGACATTGTTGAACATCAACAAAGGATTAGAGTGACTTTAGTATTAGAAAGATATTCATATAACATCTAGGTCTTCCTCTAAGCTTCAGTGTATATTTTCAATCAATTTTTGTCATTGTTAGATAAGTAATAGGGAAAGAGAGTATAATAGAAAACTTTTTTATATGTATTTCAGTATATTAAGTAAAAATTTAAAAAAAACACCAATTATCATGTATCATAAATGAACATTTTTTTTTCAGTCTCTTTTTTTTTTTTTTTTTTTTTTGACTCCAAAGTCGGGGCAAAGACTGAAATGGAAAGCTTTATATAAGAACATTATCAATGACATTGGGGTTAAGCCAGAGGAGACACTCTATGTGACAAACACACCAGCAGGTAGGCGCAATTATCCATTAGTGAAAATTGATGTTGCTAGGTTTATCTTACTTTCAGATTGAAAACCTTGATTATATGCATTCAGAAGCTTTGTGCACATGATTAGAGAATTGTAGCACATTACTAGTTACAAGCTGGTGCAATTTCTACAATGATTTTTGTCCATTTTCTATTCTATGCATACATGTTTTGAATTGAATTAATATCAGGGTCATAATTTGAGTTTGATTCAAAATGCATAATTGAACAAAAATTTTTTTGGATTGCCCATCAACTAATGTCTAAAATTTACTTCTACCCTTTTTGTTGTATTTTTCAGAGGCTCAAGCTGCTTGTAAAGCTGTTGTTGGTGTGTTTCTGTTGAACAGACCAGAGAACCCTGCTTTATCTCAGGACGACCTCAAGGATTACAATGTTATCTCCTCACTGACTGACACCATGTCTGAGAGATCAAATAATTCACAGGCAATTTCGGTAACTTCATGTAATAACTTTTTACTGTAGTCTGTAACTCCTTATAATACCTTACGTAAAGTCTGAATATGCAGAGTAGGCTTGTTTACTATTCTGATTAAGAAGCCATTGATTAGGAAGTTCATGAAGCCATTGTCTTGGTAAGATACTAAAGGGTGTAATATTCAACATATCGTCAGAATGTACTTGAGCAAGCGACGAGTGAACATTAAATGATTGAAACTGGTTATTGTTGTCAGCGTTGGATTTCCTCATAGCGATTTACACATAACTATTTTGACTACGAACTTGGAAGATAATGTTAACGTGTTACCCGAATTAAAAGATTCAACTGTGTCCGTATTTCGAGCCCATTTCTAAATTTGATACATAGCTAAATTTTGCGCGGTCCTGGACAACCAGCAATGAGGCACCTTGTAAGAAAGCAACCAATGGGGCAGATGTGGCCCAGGTCAAGGGTGAGGAGGCGGAGGCTGAAGATGAGGAAGGCAAAGAGGATGTAGTTGATGATGAAGAAGAGGAGGATCTGGATGGAGAGGATGAAGAAGGAGAAGAGGAGGAGGAAGAAAACTGAAAAGACTACGAAAACGATTGACTTTGGAGGATGACTATTCATTCATTTATATATATTTTTATAGGCAAGTTATAGGTATATTGTCAGTTACATGATCTTGCTACTATTCTCCAGAACACTAAGATGATTTGGTGTAACTGAGAGCTTTACATATTATCTATTACTACAGCACTGTAGCTTTTTCCTGTACTTATATTTTATACATGTTGTGCACATAAATGCTTTAGGTGGCAGCTGTTTTTTTTTTTTTTTTTTTTTTTTT